GCCTACTTGCAGACACCAACTTGGGGATTACCTGAGTCGTATTTACTGCCGCTCTGAATTAAATAGTAAATTTCTAAATTATTGAGATTTCAAACTATCATTGAGCATGGTGGCTTTTTAAAAGATGTGAAAGAAATCCTCTTTTAATTGGCATAGCATGGCATATGCATTTCATATTAGGAATCTTGCATAAATGTATATATTTTGTTAAGAATTCTCTACTGGGCCTTATGCTCACCCCTATGGGATTTTGGTGTAGGAAAGGATGTGGTGAACCCGCCAATCTAGGGCGTGGATATATGTATATAGAGCACAAGGCTTTGTTTTGTTGTGATTGTATTTTGTAAGCCTAGGGCTATAACTGTTTGAGTCCGAGAGATTATTTTTGTGCAACCAGGCTTATCCCTTGAAATTTGTAAGCCCTTGAGGGCATTTTATTTATTTTTTGAATTTGACATTCTACATGCTATAGATTCATGTATGTAATATCGTTGAATGTATAATTCGCATATGGGACTATTTTGTACCAATTTCTATGATCAATGTTATGATGATTGGAAAATTACTATTATTCTTTAATGAATGTCGGTTGATGTACCAAGATTATGTTGGGTAAATTTTGGGGTGTTACAAAAAGTACCCTTACTTCAACGATCGAGGCAAGAAGATGAAAGCCCAAAGAGAGCTTCGAAGAAATTACAATCCAATTGGTCAAAATGTTGATTTTCACTTGTTCTTCACCTTTAATGCAAGACCTATGGTGGATTCTTGGTGAAAAATAAATGAAATCAAGGTTTGGAGGTCTAGGGTTTCGGGTATGGAGGAGAGGGAGAGAAGAAAGGAAGAAATAATGAAAAGTTTGGACCAAAAAGTGACTTTAAAGTGGCTGAGTTCGAACTAACCGCTAAAGCGGTCAAATCTCGGCTCGAGCAGTGAAAAAAAGCTTCCAAAATCTTTGTAACTCGAACAGATTGCTCAAGCGGTCAAAAGTTCGCTCGAGCAGACTTGCTTTTAGCATAGGTACTCAAATTTCAAACGGCCATAACTCCCTCGTTCGGACTCTATTTTAGGTCGTTCTTCTATCTAAATCGAAGCCCTAGAAAAAAGCTTTCCAATGGTTCTAGCCTTACATCCTAATTCAAAGTGAGAAAAGAGAAAAAGGTAAAAGAGTAATGAATGATCATAAGAAAATTATTCGAATCAATGTTTTTGATTCAATCCTATTTTACCATTATCATACCACCCCAATCAATACTCTAAAATAAATCAAAGCGGCTCCAAGTATGATAATAAGAGTGTCAAGAGCAATCCCATTAGTCCAATGAATATGTAGTGTTACAGCATTAGGGTTTTTTTTTTTTTGCCATCTAGGAACATGCATATTTTTCTACCCTTTTTGCTTGATTTGGTGCAGAGGAGTACTAAGTGAGTTTTTTTCATCTTTGTATTCTGATTATGTGTTTTTCTACCTATGTCTAGCATTCTTACCACGCGGCTACTTGCTTACTTGATAGATCTCTTTGGATGCCCGCGGATAGTGGTTATTTCGCTTAAGTTGGGATAATATTGATTTTCATGCATATAGACTCATCTTTTCTTTTATTGCACTTTTTCAAACTTTGTTTCAAAACGCATGAAATCAGAGCATTTTGAAATAAGTGATTTAGTCTATATTTGTTTGCTTCACATAGAATTTTAGCATTAATAATCGAAACATGGGCATGTATTTATAATGAATCTCATATCCAGAATTAGTAGAGGCCCATCTTTGATCAAGTGAGCCGTGGTGCTCAATTCATGACCTTCCCTTCTTATACCTAAATTCCCGAACCGAGAAACTTTGGTTATGATGGACAGTAGCCTTTGGCACGAGTCATGGGTTTTCTAGTTTTTTCAATAGATTCGGTGGTGATTTTGAATCTAGTGACGTAGTCCATTTTTGGCAGTTCTTGTGATTAGTGAATTTTCTATGTATTTTCCAAATTTACACTATCGTTCTGTTTCATAATTTGAGTTATCTTAAGGGATAATTGGTGATTGTACATAAATTGACTCAAATTTCAAAAACTAAAAAATGAAAACTAAACTATATATATATATTGGAAGGTGTTGTTGGGTCTCATAGTATTAATCAAGCGGTTTGTTTCGACGATTTAAACCATTTATTTTACTCCCTCCGTCCCATTTTGATAGCCCCTTTTGGAAATTCTTAATTTTTTCAGGGGACATCTAATCATTGGATTTGGATTCAAATTGTAGAGCACTTATTCTAATAATACCCTTCTCATTTTCAATTTTTAATATATTTTTAACCATTTAAAAATGGTAGTTTTGGAAAACTAAATATTATTTACTTTGACTTTTCAAGTAGGACTAACATTTTTGGACATTTTAAAATGAGAAAAATGACTAACAAAATGGGACAGGGGGAGCATTGAATTTTATGTATAAATCATCAAAAAAATAAATAAATAAATCAAACTGATTCGTGAATCATAACTATAAAATTTTATTATATATATCTTTAAAAAATAACTAATAACTATAATTTTGAAAATAGATCATTCGTTTTTTTTAAGACAAATATTGCAAGATTATATAGGTACGATTATCGGATCAATCTAATTTTTTGTATAAATAATCTACACATAAAATTTGACAAGATGAACGATTTAAATTGTGAAAATGAATCTCATAAAAGGTCCACACAGCCTAACAACACCTTCCAGTTCATTTTTTTAGACAAACCCGAGCCAATACTTAAATTTCTTCTTCTTGTTGATCGCCGGGGGAGGGGGGCAAGAGAAATACTTAAGAGTATTACTATTTAAAATAAAAAATTAGATCTAATTTTTAAATCCAGTGATATGGTAATCAATTAACATATTAAAGGTAATATTCTCTCTGATATTTTTTCTACTCATCCATTAATTATATCATTTACATATCATTAGGTTTATAAAATATGTTTGAAAAGAGGACTTATATACCATTTTTCAAAACTTAATTTTATAAGTTTATATGATAAACAAAAGGTGAATCCATTTAACAAAACTAATTTTGTCCATAATTTCCACCTTCTAGATGATGATTTTTTTTTTTTTTTCTTCTTTTTCAGTGGTGTTATATGTATCAATTATTATACTAACTAATGTACTAACATATGTTATGACATTATAACTAAACTCATCCATTATACAAATTACAAATATAAAAAATCTCTAAAATCATGTCACATCATCTGGTAGTATATTAATTGGTATATCAATTGGTACATATAGTATTATTCTTTTTTGGGACGAGAGGTCAAAGTAAGATATTTATATTATCAAACAGACTACTAACTCATCATAATTCGAAAGTCAATAAAGTATTAACACAATTAATATATTAAGCCCACCAAGCCTAAACCTAAGCCAAACAACCACTACTAGCTAGATACAACTGTCATAATAGAGGAGAAATAAACTACTACCACAACGGGTATCAAATTTCTCCCCACAGGCAATGGGAAGCTATGAAATTAAATTAGAGGGGGCACTTTCAATATTTATTTTTTTTCCACATAACCAACAATAATAAGAAAATAATAATTTTTGAATTAATATTAAAGCCAAAAACTTAAATAAATTATTAGAAAAGTATTTCACATGAAATTTTATGATTGACCTTGAAAAAGATTGAAAAGATTAATTAGTGTATCATAGACAATATAAAAAAATGATATATATATACATATATGTCTTAAAATAAATTACATAACAATAAAACAAATTTTTTATACAAATTTGAGTAAAAATTCAATATAATTGTTATTTCACACCATCATTATTATGTGATATCATAAACCAATAGTAAATAAACCTATGGAGGGTGAACCCTACATGTCAAACGTAACTAACAATTTAATAATTTTTGCATATGCATAGCAAGATTAAATATATTTGCATGTCAATATCAACGTTGTATTAAGATTTTTCACATAATTTTTATATATAATAATGTGACTTCTTGTGATCACTTTATTTTTAATAAAAACAATTACTATGATTTCATAATTAAAAAAATATCATTGACATTTAATTCTAAATATTATTTTCATATAAATTTTTTATTTAAAATATTTTCTTCATATACATATGTTAAAAAAAAAAAAAAAAATCAAAACTCAAGAAAAACCTGACCCCCTGAAGCTTATGTAAATTCACCCATGTTCATGAGAGTTAAATTCAAAATCTCACGCCACATATCCTGGTTCAATTGATTTACTTTCTTCAATTCAAAAGAAGCCTTTAGTTGAATAGTCAAAACATCCATTCAATATCGTCCAGTTGCTTAATATTATATATTTCACAGCACAATGACATTCAAAGGAAAGATTGTCAGATTAGCATATAATTTTGGCCAATCATTTACAATTTCATATGTAATCTATTGATATTTATATATAGAAAATATCCTGTGACATCCAAACGCCGCAGATTGTGTTGGATATTTTATCCAAACACACAAGGGGTCAAGAGTTTCTAGTAGAATTTGCTACAAATATGAATAGGTCAGGTCAAAATGGGCCAACAGAACCAAATGCAATCAAGGACTAAGTCAGTGGAGGTAATTGGAGTATTGGGTTGACCTATTCTCCTCATCCAACGTCTGCAACAAGCAATGTTGATTGTGTCTTCGTTTTCTGTTTTATATTCATAAAACATAAAAAAACTTTTTTGACAGATTGTTTCCAACAGCTGTTTTGGGAGGATAAATAAATAAATAAAAACTTGAACAATCTATTCTTTGGGAAACACTAAAAAATTGTTTTTGAATTTTCAAAAAATATATTTGTACATAATGAAAACAATCAGCGTTTTCAAAGTTTTTGTATATGTTTCCAAAAAACATGAAAACGAAACACAATCAAACATCTTGGAACCTGATCCCCCACCAGTTTGGTGAGGCTATAATAAAACTTTTGCCTGAACCCAGAAGCAATCTAGATGACAAAGTGAGCCAAAAATGAAAATAATTTTATGATTATGTAATCATCAACTGTGCCAAGATACAACCAAAACAAAGTGAAACTATATGAAACACTCATCTGCTGGTAGTATGGCCTCTATAATTTTCTTCTACTCACTCTTATGCAAATAGTAAGTACACAAATCAAACACAATGGCATACACAAAAGCCAGTTCAGTAGGGTGTGGAGAGGTAACCTCCAGGTTGTCCCATGCCGGTGACTGGTGCCATTCCATAAGGCATCATCATTGGTTGTGAACCCGGGCCATAAAAACCGCCACCCACGCCGCCACTGGCAATCTTGGCCAAACCCACTTGCCCTTGCATCCCACTACTTCCATACTGCTGCCAAATTTGTTGTTCCTGCACAAGCATATGCTGCTTTTTCTCCATATCCGCAATCTGCACATATGCAGGAGGCGGCACTGATAGTGATGCTGCAAAGGGGTCTTGATGCCCCACCGCTTGGACTGTACCATCCGGGGCAGGCAATGCAAGCACTGGCGTTGCTCTCTTACCCATCCCAGGCAATGCCACGCTACTGGCACTCCCACCGCTCAGCTGAGTATTGCTTACATGCTGCCTCACTGCTCCCTGATCATACATGCCATTCAACAACAATGGATCAAAACCACCGGCTAAATCAGCTTTCTGCTTTGAGAGGTTACTAGCAGACTCAACCAATGCCAATTCCCAATCCGCTTTACCACTCTCAGCTGCCGGTGTTTGCCAGGCTGAGGTCATTTCAGGCTCTCCATTTGTCGGGAAGGCTTCCCATGAGCTGTTTGCATTGGCGGTGGGTGGCCCAGAAAACAACGCCAATGCCAATTTGTTGCTCTGATCCTCAGCAGACACTCCATCCTTCAAATTGACCAAGTCCTCCGCCACCTGCTGAGGTTGTGGCTGTGGTTGTGGTTCAGGTGGCGGTGGAGGAGCATAATTCTCCGGTGCAGGAAGTGCCTTTATCTCATTCGAATCTTGCACTACCTCCTCTTTCGCAACTGACGAACTATCTTCCCTACTTTTCTCAGGACTCCTCGGCCTATTTGCTCTTTCCTTCAAAAACCCCTCGAGTGTCCCCAAAAGCTTATCAGTAATTTTTTGCACTTGAGGGCACTCTGATGATCTTGCAACCCCTATATCCTTGCACCAACTATAAAATGCCACAAGCTCGTCAATCATCTTTGCCGCATTAACATAAGCATCGAAAGCCTTAACACAATCTGCATACTCCATCTCCGAAAACCTATCCAACAAAACCCCCAAAACCTCACATATATCAGCATAAAGCCTAAAACTCTCCTTCACAACAAGGTAGAGTGCAACAAGCACCATCCTACTATTCTTGGCCGCCCCAGTGGGCCTACAAGCCAAGAACCGATCAAGAAGCCTCAACAACTGATTCAACTTCTCCAAAACCCTCTCGGGCTTCATTTCCCTAACCGGGGTTGCCTCTCTTCTCTGTTCTCTCCCTGCGAACTCATTCAAATCACCATAAGACCACGACGACCTCCTAGTTGTCCCATAACTATCCTCATCTTTGAAATCTCCATTCCCATAAGCATCATTGTTTCGCCTCCGATCATCAAGGCTCGATTTCAACTCATACACTATGAATTCAAGCTTCTGATCAAGGTACAAAGCATAAGTCCTGACAAAACCCGAATGATCCCAAGAATTGGAGTGTGCCTCATCGCGAAAATCGGACATATTCAAAACCCTAGTACCCCTTCGGCTGGCATACATGATCTCTTGCCCTAAAACTAGATCTCCATCTATCAACATTCTGTGGACGAGAATTAAGGCCTTTACAGCAACAATCCAATCACGTGTTTTGCTCAGCCGCTTCGAAATTGAAAACACAAATGCATTGACATAGCCGAGTTTGGAATACGAAGTGAGATGAAGAATCTCCCGAATGTACTTCTCATCTGCTGGTTCGTCGTCGTGGCTCGTCGCCTTCACGATCAAGACCTCCAGCTCTGGCGCTACAGTTCCGGCCACTTTCGCGATGCTGATGCTCGTTTGGTCCTTCACCGCCCCAATCGCCTTCCGAATCGTGCTCGGTGCCATCACCACAACTCCAACTTTTTCTGACCTATATCAAACTGATCAGTTTCTTTGAGTCTTTGATGGAGAATTAAAGAGTTATCATTTGAGATGATCTAGATCTGTATAATTGTGTTGAGATCTAAAGCAGACAGAAAGGTCCAACCTCACGAAGAAACAACTGATCAGTGTAGTGCTTGCGACGGCGGCGGTGGTGGTCGTCGTTGAGGAGGAGTTGGGGCAAGGTGGGTTTGATTCGATCCAGCAAAACAATCACGGCGGTGCTAGCAGACTTTCTTCTCTCTCTCTCTGTATATACAGCTTTCTCTCTCTATAGACATGCAGAGTAAAGCATTGCGTTTCTATCTCGTGCTCTGTTCATATACGAAAGGAACAGAGTAACGACAGCACGAAACCGCGTGTTTATAAGCCTCCGTCTGACAAGTGGGTTTATTTTTGGGAACTTACTGATAAGTCCATGTAATAAGTTCAAAATTTAACTAATTTCAAAATAAAATATTTATATCAATTAGTCTAACATATTTTTAATTGTTACTAAATTTTTTTTTTTTTTAATTTATAGACACTGTTCATATCTTATTACCGTCGGACTTCCGTTTAACGGTCGTCGGAGACTCACCGGAATGTCTAGAATATTGCTGGAAAAAAAAAATTAAAAAACATGTTATGAAACTGTAAAATTTTACATTTCTAAAGAATGTTATAAAACTGCAAAATTTTACAGTTTTAAACCATGATTCATTCCAGCACAAAAAAAAAAAAATTTGAAACTACAAAATTTTACAGTTTTCACCGCCTGTAACTAAAACTCGAAAACTGCTTGTTCAGAATTCGAAAATTTTCTCCATTAGAACAGAAAAACAGAAGTGTATAGCTGAGAGAGAGAAAAAAAAAAAAAAGAGATCGAAGGGGAAAGACGGATGTCTAACCAAATCTGTGTAGATCTACTCAGATCTGATGTAGATCTGAGTAGATCTATATCAGATCTAAGTAGATCCATTCATCTTCTTCGTCGGAGTTGATTTCAATGCTTGGTGGTTATCAATGAACCCTGATAAATGGAGAAAGATATGATCACCGGTGGTCCTCTTCCATGACAAACACGGTGATAGAAAAATGTAGAAAAAAAAAACGAGAGAGGAAGGGAAGCAAAAAGCAGAGAGAGGGGGGAAAGGACTTTTGGGTGTAGTGAAAAAGTTATGGGATTAAATGGAGATCACATGTTTCCCATGGGACCTATGGGTAATTTCCCCTTTACTTTTTGACTTTTTGACTTTTTTAATTGTATGAGCCTGGGCTCAAAAGTTTGGTTTGGGAAGGACTTTTGATTTTTTGATTTTTTTGATTTTTTTGTGAGAGAAGAGTGTAATGATTATGGGATTGGATGGGATGTTTTGTCTGTTGTGACTCATGAGCCTATTTTGTCTTTTATGGCTCATTGAGCCAAAAAAACTCAATGAGCCCTTGCCAAACCAACCCTAAGTAGTCTTTTGTGGGATGTCGTTCAAAAATAAATAATAAAGCGTGATTTCTGTTTAATATAGATTTTTTTTTATAATTAAAAAATTATATTTATTTTTATTAGATTAAAATAATATATTTATCACTTAATCTTTATACATATAAAATAATAAAATAATACAGATATTTTATTCATGTCATTTTAAGGAATATAACAATCATCCTATTTACTTTAACTCACACAAAAAATTGAGTTTTTTTATTCTTCATGTTTTTTACTTGTATTTAAAAAAATTAAATTGCTGAGGGGAGGAATCTGTAATGAAACTTTAAATCTTAGAGAGGGAGATATAATTTCTAAAAGATGAGAAGGAGAACTGTAATAAATATAAACTTCAGGGGTGTCAGCGTAATTTATCCATAAAATATATTCAGTTAGAATTTAATGATAAAAAATTATAAAACGTACTCATGATGATAGCAAGAAGAAATAGGAAGGAAAAGGGCAAAATAATCATTTAGAGAGTTTTAGGACATGACATTAGTAATCTAATGACTAATTTATAATGAGATTACAAATCTCATAAAAAATAATGTAATTTATCAAATGCGAGGAGAAAATCTATATTAAACAGAAACTTTTGTAATTTACCCAATAATAAAATAGTGTTTGTGGGATAGACTTTTTATTTTGTTTTGTTTTATTGATTTATTTATTTTTTCCGATACTGGCGTGCAAAAATCTAAAACCTCCCTCAGATTTTTCAACTTAGAGAGCATCCAAAGACTTTTTAAATGACATCTATTAATTATTGTAATTATAATTAGTATTCTCATATTTTAATAAAAAGTTTATGAATATAAATAGATAAAAAATTTCAATATTAATTATGATAATTATTTTAGTTATTATGATAATTATTTTAATAAAATTCTTCGGTGTTAATTACATTTAAAAAGTTTTAGGAGATTCTTTAAACAATTTGTGAATATAAATAGATAAAATAAATATTAGTGCTAGAGTACATAAACAAATAAATAATAAAAAAAGAATTATGCAAAATAAATAGTTACATTTTAATATTCTAGCTAATAAAAATAAAGAGTATGGTTGTAGTACTTTTAAAGGGGGACATACGTATAGATTCTAATAGATGGACTTATTATCCGATAGGTCTTGTGAGAGTTAATGGCATTTTTCATCTAACACTACTAAAAAAGGACGCTAATTGTTAATTTTTAACCACAATCCTCACAATAACAAAGTCACAAAATTTTCAAACTGTCTTTCGATTTTAAGTGATAGTTTGAAAATTTTGTTACACAAAGTCGCCAATTGTAAGTGATAATACAGTTTGTCCCAGTGAATGGATCGGACTGGTCCAAGCTCCTCAAGCCCAAGTCCAAATAATCAAGCCCACCGAATAACCTGCAAGCAAGTTCAACAGGGAACGGGGTAGTCCCCCAGTGAACCCTCTGACGAGCAAGTTAGGAAGAGAAGTAGAGTATAGAGGGAGAGATTAGAGATAAAAAGCTTAACCTTTTTCTTATCTTCAACGTTTGCTTAATTCCTTTGGTAATCATTTCGTTGTCCCTTCCGACCTGCCCTCCTCGCCGAAAGTCTATGTTGTAGCTTATCTTATTCAGGGTAAGGGGGTCCTGTTCCGACGGAGAGGTGTTGTCATAATAAATGCTGTGATGGGCCGCATTAATGGTGATGTGCCGTGGCAATAACTTTGCAAATCTTTGTCTGCTGATGTGGGTCGCCCTTCACCTGCCACGTATCTGAATGTCATTGGCTCTTTGTGCCATGCTGGATTCCAAATGTTCTGGACTCCCCCAGCTGGGTTATGTACTAGGCTTGAAGTGATGGGCTTGGGTTGTTTATAATGGGTTATGGCCTCTATGGGCTTAGCCACGTCAGTAGTCCCCCATTCCCGAGTGCAGCTTTAGTCCAACGAAGGGAATACAAATGAAGGGAATGAGAATGCCAGGGAATGGTGAGGTGGGGGTCGACCGGTAGAGGTGACCGAGGGGGTGGGCCGACCGTAAGGTGGACCGACCGTGAAGGGGGCCAAAGGGAAGGGGCGACCACGAGGAGGGTCGACCGCGAGGGTTGGCCGACTACGAGGGAGGGCCGACCACGAGAGAGAGCCGACCGCGGGGAGGGCCGACCTGAGGTGGTCCGACCGCAAGGGGTGACCGAGTGGGATGGCCGACTTGAAGGGGGAGCCGACCGCAGGGGTTGGCCTAGTGGGAGGGGCGCGAGGCTCAATAGGCGGCGTGTCACGTGGTGATTTGAAGTGGAAAAAACGGGGTAAAGGGGGAGGAGATTAGGCGTTGAAGTAGAAATGAAATGGTGTGTCATTATGGGTGTTGAAAAGACAGTTTTGGCAGATGATTTGAAAAGTTTTCAAACTGGCGAAAATTAACTGGGCTCCTTGGAATACGGGAAAACCGTGGGCTTTTGGCATCATTCGATTCACCTACTTGTTTACAAAGAACCAAAACATTCCAAGTGTTACTTCATTTGTTGCTCACGATACACCTCTGCAGCACGTTTTTGATTTCCTTGCACCTGCATCGGAAGCGATTCGCAGGCATACCATAGAAATGGCCCAAGAAGAAGCTGTGAATGTCAGGGTGGATCCACTGGGCGATGATGATGCAGTGGAGTTAGCATAGTAATATAGGATGGAGAGGGTGGGAGAGTTGGTTGCACGATCCCACAGTTCCACCATGATAGCAGCTGCAAAGCCAATCAACCAGGCAGAACCAGACCACTGGCATACAAAAACAGATAAATCAATGGTTACTGCAGCGGATTTGGAGGTTGTTCGCGAAAAATACCAGGTGCCTGCCAAAATAGAGTTGTCGTTGCCGATGTCGACGGAGAGGCCATCCGATGCCAAGCTAGGGCAGTTTGCCCTTTATGAGGAGGCATTGAAAAGAGGACTGAGGCTGCCCCTGCCGCAGGTGGTAGTAGATGTCCTAAATTGTTTGGAGGTGGCGCCGGGCCAACTAATGCCCAACGCGTGGAAGATCTTGCTGTCCTGTGCAAGTGCCTGACCGAAGGTGAACGAAGGGGTGGCCATAACAGTGGACGAATTCTTCGCGTGCTACAAGGCCTCAGGGCAGCAAGAGACTTGGGTCACTCTGCAGGCAGCAGCAGCGAAAGGGTTGGTGGCGGGATTGCCATCGTCGATCAAGGGGTGGAGACCACGGTGATTCTATGTGTCTACCAGTGGAGGAGTTGGAGTGCGCACCATTTGGAAGGTGCCCACCAAGTCGATGGAGCCAAAGTTGGGGGTAGCAACAGAGGAGAGAGTGAAGAGGGTAAAGGAGTGCAGGGAGAAAGAAGGGGCTAAATGGGACGAGCTCGTTTAGCCGTCTGTATTGTTTGAGGCAGGGTTGGGTCCACAGCCGAGCGGTGGGGACCTTGACCGAGTGGAGTTGGAAGCGAGGATGAGGGCTCAAGAGGCAAAGGATCAAACCGTCCTTGCGAAAGCCCAAAAATTCAAAGAGTCCCAGGCCGACCGACCACCAAAACCGGTTGCAAGGGAGCGGATTCGACCTCGCTCCAAACCCTTGGAAGAGAAAGACTTAGGCGAATTTGTGCCGCGACCGCCCCCAATAGACCCTTTGAAGGAGAAATCTTTGAAGGAGATAGCGTTGGGCGTGGTGAAGAAGAAGAAAAGGGTGATGCGGAGTGAAGAAGAGCCTGCCCAGAAGAGGAGGAGGAAGACGAGGGTAAAGGAGACCAGTGTGGCCAAGGAGGCAGAGGGGGGGGGGGGAAGTGGGGGGGGGGGGGGCCCCAGGAAGAGTGATTGCCTCAAAAGTGGTGGACATTGCCTCAGAGGGCATGGAGGTGGTACCAGTGGTGCCGGCGATCGCCGCAAGGGTCGCAAG